ACAAGCTACTCTCTCCCATTAACAAGCTACTCTCTCACATTAACAAGCTACTCTCTCCCATTAACAAGCTACTCTCTCACATTAACAAGCTACTCTCTCACATTAACAAGCTACTCTCTCACATTAACATGCTACTCTCTCACATTAACATGCTACTCTCTCACATTAACACGCTACTCTCTCACATTAACACGCTACTCTCTCACATTAACAAGCTACTCTCTCACATTAACACGCTACTCTCTCACATTAACACGCTACTCTCTCACATTAACAAGCTACTCTCTCACATTAACAAGCTACTCTCTCACATTAACAAGCTACTCTCTCACATTAACAAGCTACTCTCTCACATTAACATGCTACTCTCTCACATTAACACGCTACTCTCTCACATTAACACGCTACTCTCTCACATTAACAAGCTACTCTCTCACATTAACACGCTACTCTCTCACATTAACAAGCTACTCTCTCACATTAACAAGCTACTCTCTCACATTAACAAGCTACTCTCTCACATTAACAAGCTACTCTCTCACATTAACAAGCTACTCTCTCACATTAACATGCTACTCTCTCACATTACAAGCTACTCTCTCACATTAACACGCTACTCTTCTCACATTAACAAGCTACTCTCTCACATTAACAAGCTACTCTCTCACATTAACAAGCTACTCTCTCCCATTAACAAGCTACTCTCTCACATTAACAAGCTACTCTCTCACATTAACATGCTACTCTCTCACATTAACATGCTACTCTCTCACATTAACAAGCTACTCTCTCACATTAACAAGCTACTCTCTCACATTAACACGCTACTCTCTCACATTAACACGCTACTCTCTCACATTAACAAGCTACTCTCTCACATTAACAAGCTACTCTCTCACATTAACACGCTACTCTCTCACATTAACAAGCTACTCTCTCACATTAACAAGCTACTCTCTCCCATTAACAAGCTACTCTCTCACATTAACACGCTACTCTCTCACATTAACAAGCTACTCTCTCACATTAACAAGCTACTCTCTCCCATTAACAAGCTACTCTCTCACATTAACACGCTACTCTCTCACATTAACACGCTACTCTCTCACATTAACAAGCTACTCTCTCCCATTAACAAGCTACTCTCTCACATTAACACAGCCACTTAGCACGTGCGCCATGGAGGCTGCGCACCGATCTTACATTAACATGATGATTTTCACCTGGCAGCCCTTTGATTGGTGAAAACCCAACCACCATCGTGATTGCTGCCCACCACCTACATTATCATTGGCTGCTGACATTTGGGCTACGCCCATTTTAAACCTTTATAAACAGTTTGCCTTTAGAGGCTAACCCCGATTTTCCTGATGACGACCGCTTGTGTTGCAATCGAAACGTCGTAGTTTTTTGTTATTTTCTTTGAACCTATCTACGTGACTTTACCGAAAATCCCAAAGAATAGGTTACGTGATCCACATGGAGCACTCCCCCCCCTCATTAATAATCATGAGTAGGTGACGTCACTCCACATCGAACAGCCCCCCCTCAATAATAATCATGAGCAGGTGACGTCACTCCACATCGAACAGCCCCCCTTCAATAATAATCATGAGCAGGTGACGTTCTCCAAATGGACACCTTCCCCCCCCCATTCATAATAATTAGCGGCTGACGTCACTGCACATGGGGGGCCGAGGCGCCTCCTCCCCCCCCCCCTCGGCGTCAACTCACAGCCCTCACTACAAAGGCAGAACCCTCACGTCACGCGATCTCTGTGACGTTGTTGAGACATCAAAGCAAAAAGGACGTCATGATGAACAAGGGATTATAACCATAAAATGAAGAGGTCTGTGTCACCGCGGCCTTACAAATTGCGTTAATGCAATGAATATATCACGTCGCGGTCTGATTTTCGCTTGCAAGTTTCATATTTACTGCAATATGCTAGTTGACAAGATTGTGCCAATCTAATTTATTATTTTATCTTTATACGTGACTTTACCGAAAGAACCAAAGAAGAAGATTGTGCCAGGCTGTGTAATCAACGTCCCCCGTACGTTCGCTCTGCCGACTCCCCCCCTCCTCCTTTTATTAAAATCGCGCCGAAATGTGCCAGTTGTTTTTGAGATAAACTTGTCAATTTCTTTAATCCTTCGTTTTGGGGTTGGGTGTGATTGGTGTTAGCCTGCACGTGTGTGCGTGTGTACAGCGCCCTGCCATCTCCGAGTGAAAGGCGCTTTAGAAGTGTACACCACCATCATCATTATAATGAGTGTTGTTTCCTCTCCACGCAGCTATCGGTGCATTTCCTGTGTGGTTGTGGTGATGAGGGACTTCCGATGCGTCTCACGCTGTGAATGTCGCTGTGCCGACTCGAAATGGCCCAGCCACACGTGATGAACGGCTGAATGGATGGATGGTTGATTGGGTGGATGAATGCAGCACTGGTGGTTTATCCTCGGCACAAAGACAGCAAGCATAATTACGCCATAATGCCCCCTTTTTGCCGGTTGCTATGTTACTTCCGAATGCAAATGAACTTCTGGGTAAACATTTGTAGCAAACGCACATGACAGTGTGTGCGTGTGCGTGTTCGTGCGTCCCTCGGTATTGCCACGAAATATTTAAAAAAAAATTATTTCGCTAAACCCACGTGCGAAAAAAACCCACTCAAACTCAAACTGATCGCGGTGGCACACGTGACGAGCAGCGCCTCTCCGGAGCGGCAGTGGAGACGAGTCGGGTGCCACTGGTCGTCCAACATCCAAATGCTGGGTACGTGGATAATTCTAAATAAAAACTCCCACCCAACAAACGACTCGATTGTTGTTGTTGTTGGTGACTTTCAGACCGCAGTCCACTCACTGACATTGACTATATATCTTGTATTCTCCGCAAGGATTCTTTGCTCTACTGCAAGCCTCCTACCACTAGTCTACCATTGCGCCATATTATTAACATTCCTTCCCTTTATTAATTCTGACCTCACTTCCTCCCTTTGATGCTGCTAATCCTGCATAATGCATGGGCATAGTGACTTTAAACCCCTCGCGAGACCCCCTACGCATTTCACAAGTAGCACTAATCGCATTTCTGCATTTCCTATAAATATGCTAAATTCCTGTTGATATGCAAATTATTTTGTCAAGACGCTCTTCGCCCCCTCCATCCCAGCTTAAATAGTCGCTTCAAGCCTGGGGCGTTCCATTCAGACTCTGTCTCCTTGACAGACCTGTTCTTCACCTGAAGACGGCTGCTTGCGTTGTAGCCGACACGTCGTGAGAATTATTTTATTATGTTTTATTTGTATTATTTTATTAATTTCTTTCTACGTGACTTTACCGAAAGAACCAAGAAGATGTTGTTGTTGTTGTTGTTGTTGTCACGAGGCATCAAGTTGGCATTCAGCGCACGCGACCGAGGTGAAACACGCAGACAGACATGCTTTGGTAAGAATGTATTTACGCAATTTCCTTGAAAGTGATTGTCCTACACCAGAGGCAGACCCCTTCATGGCCTTGTCTCAACATCGGTGTTGGTCCAAAGAACGCCGAAAAGCGAACGGCACAAAGACGGTGCCAATATCAAAGCGTTAATGGGCTCGGGTCGATCAGTTCCAGCTATGGGGATTTGGCGTTTTAAAATGTTAACACCTCCTGTGTACTTGCCGGAAAGGATAAGGGTCCGTCCATAAATGACGTCACGCACCTGGGGGGGGGGGGGGGGTCCAGACCTTTGTGACGATGTGTGACGAGGAGGGGGGGTTAAATAAATGGTTTCTCCTACAACATCAGAGTGCAGCGCCACATTAAATACGCACTACAATGACAATAGTTTAAAGCGATTTGAAGCATGTTTTATTTTTGGGGGGGGGGCAGAGCTTTGTGACGTCATATTTGAGGGGGTTTGACTTTTTGTGACGCCGTGTGACGTCATCGCACACGGGGCCCAGCAATAGCGTGCATGATGACGTCATCGCGCACGGAGCCCGGCAATAGCCTGCGTGATGATGTCATCGCACATGGGGCCCGGTAATAGCGTGCGTGATGACGTCATCGCGCACGGGGCCCGGCAATAGCGTGCGTGATTACGTCATCGCTCATGGGGCCAGGTAATCGCGTGTGATGACGTCATCGCGCAAGGGCCCGGCCACAGCGTGTGTGATGACGTCATAGCGCAGGGGCCCGGCAAAAGCGTGCGCGGTGACGTCATCACGCACGCTATTGCCGGGCCCCGTGCGCGATGACGTCATCACGCACGCTATTGCCGGGCTCCGTGCGCGATGACGTCGTCACGCACGTTGTAAAATGAACAAAAACAGAGCGGGATTCGAACCCGGGCCGCCCGCGTTACAGGCTACGACTGTTACCACCATGCTCAGCAAACTGTCTGATGCGCTTTGAACTTCTGGTTATTAAGTGATCGTGAGTAGGACGTTGATATTGAAGACTTAAAATTGCTTACGATATATAGTTTTTTAAAAATGTAAGTATTTAAAATAGCAATGTATTGCGCTGGCAATTGCTGATTCGGGTGCATTATATAGCAAACCAAAAAGAAACAGTAAGATTATGTCACTTTGAATTGAACTCGTGAATTTGTGACTCAGCTCAGAGAGAAGCAACAGCGCCACCTGGCGGTGCTGGCGTCAGCAGCATTTTGTCTTTTGATAAAGATCTCGAAATTGATGTCGGCATGTCACCCTTGCTTTGATGTTAGCATTGTCGATACGTTACTCTGTCATCAAGTTGGGGCGTTCAACTTGACCGGCGGAGGCTGAATACGAAGGAGAATAAACATGCCAGAGATTTTGACACGGCGTCTCGCTGTCATTGCGTCTCAATCGCTGGAGAGAGGACAGCGCGCGCGTCCATTGTAGAGAGAGAGGGGAGAGAGGGGAAAGGGAACATAGACATAGGGGGTAGAGAGAGAAGGGGGGGGGTAGAGAGGGAGACGCAGGGACTTGGAGGCTCGGGCCAGGTGAAGACTATACCATCATGGACGGGGTGATGACATTCGTGAATCCCGGCAGGCATTGCGCCAAGGATTCCATCTGGCTCGTGAAACGCTGCACAAAGCCCGACCGCAAGGTGTTTCAGAAGATCGCAATAGCGACGGCAATTGGCTTTGCCGTCATGGGCTTCATCGGCTTCTTCGTGAAACTCATCCATATTCCCATCAACATCATGGTTAAGATCAACTGGAGTTCTACTTTGAAAGAGATGTTGTCACTTCTGGAGTTAACTTTATATCGTCAACAGTGAAATGCCATAATGTTGCAAAATGTGTCCAATGTTTTACCAGCAGTTTTTGACATTCAGTTTAGTCTTTACTTATGAATAAAGCCCATGTAAGAAAAAAAAGAGAGATGGGGTAGAGAGATAGGGAAGGGGTAAGAAGGAGGAGAGCAGAGCGTGAAATATTTCATTTAAAAAGGGGAGGGGGGGCACATAAAGCAAAGCATTGAACAAAAAAACGAAATGATGAACGAAGCAAAGTGCCGACTACACCGAGCATCTTCTTGTTTCCTCTGATCGTTAAAAAAAGAATGGGGAGAGAGGCGGCCACAGACAGCAGGGAAGCTCTTTGAGCCTGGACTCGGGGCGAGAGCGCCGAGCAAGGCCCGTGCATGTGATGTCGATCGCGTAGAGACCCGAGGCAGTGCCAGATTCAGCGAGTGCGGGGCCTGTAGCATATGTCATCAATGGGCCCTAAATAAAACATAAATATTAAAACACACATTTTGAACTTGCATAGTAAAGGAACTGTATTTTTCCATTTGCTATACAGCCAGATAATACGACAAATCGCTAACATTAAACACCCAGTCGTTCGTAAAAGTCGAAGGCGGTATAGTACTATAGTAATAGAGCAAGTGCAGAATCACTGAACCGGAATTGATAGCTTGAAAGCATTTAGCGCGGGGCCCTTGAAAGTGCGGGGCCCGTAGCTACTACATGTGTAGCTACTACACGTGTAGTAGCTACTACACGTGTAGTAGCTACTACACGTGTAGTAGCTACTACACGTGTAGTAGCTACTACACGTGTAGTAGCTACTTGTGCTACTACAATAATCCGTCACTGACCCGAGTACAATAGCAACAGCAGCATCAGCACCACCACCACCACCGCAGCACTCTCCACAACGCGCTCTGGATTGCCTCGCTCATGTGTTGGCTCCGAGTGCACGAGCACTCACGACGAGACACAACGGGGGACACCTCCAGCGAATCTCCTGGACAAGGGATGAACGCATGGGCGGAGTTTGCAGGGAGGCCCGAACTGAACACAATTGTTAATTTATTTAAAGTAATTAACTGGGAGGTCGTCCTTACAATTCTGTCCAAAACATCTTCCCCTGTGTTGTCTCCTCTGTGTATGTATCTCTTTATTTTTATTTTATTTAATTCGTTATTTATTCCCTCGCTATGTGTTTTGCACCATTTACACCTGATGATGAGCGCTTGTGTTGCGTTCGAAAGGTCGTGATTTATTTTAATTTCATTTTATTTGTGTAAAAATGTATTTTATTTCTACATTCGCGACTTTACCGAAAGAACCAATGAGTATAGTTATTTGAAGTAGTTTACAATTAAATGAAAAATTAATGTTAATTAATTACTTAAATGCACCCGCGATTCCCATTGTTAGGGACAAAGCAAACCCCTGCACCCCCCCCACACACACAAAACAGAGAAGTGAAAGTCCTCGTGACGTGAAGTGCGAGTTTGTGGTACCAGCTGGTGATACCAGCTGGTGGTTACCAGGGGGTGGTTACCAGGTGATGGTTACCAGGGGGTGGTTACCAGGTGATGGTTACCAAGTGATGGCTACCAGGTGATGGTTACCAGGTGATGGCTACCAGGGGGTGGTTACCAGGTGGTGGTTACCAGGTGATGGTTACCAGGTGATGGCTACCAGGGGGTGGTTACCAGGTGGTGGTTACCAGGGGGTGGTTACCAGGTGATGGTTACCAGGGGGTGGTTACCAGGGGGTGGTTACCAGGTGATGGTTACCAGGGGTGGTTACCAGGGGGTGGTTACCAGGTGGTGGTTACCAGGGGGTGGTTACCAGGGGTGGTTACCAGGTGATGGTTACCAGGGGGTGGTTACCAGGTGATGGTTACCAGGGTGTGGTTACGAAGTGATGGTTACCAGGTGGAGGTTACCATGTGGTGGTTACCAAGTGATGTTTACCAGGTGGAGGTTACCATGTGGTGGTTACCAGGTGGTGGTTACCAGGTGGTGGTTACCAGGGGGTGGTTACCAGGGGGTGGTTACCAGGTGATGGTTACCAGGGGGTGGTTACCAGGTGATGGTTACCAGGGGGTGGTTACCAGGGGGTGGTTACCAGGTGGTGGTTACCAAGTGATGGTTACCAGGTGATGGTTACCAGGTGATGGTTACCAGGGGGTGGTTACCAGGGGGTGGTTACCAGGTGATGGTTACCAGGGGGTGGTTACCAGATGGTGGTTACCAGGTGGTGGTTACCAGGGGGTGGTTACCAGGGGGTGGTTACCAAGTGATGGTTACCAGCTGGTGGTTACCAGGGGGTGGTTACCAGCTGGTGGTTACCAGGTGATGGTTACCAAGTGGTGGTTACCAGGTGGTGGTTACCAGGGGGTGGTTACCAGCTGGTGGTTACCAGGGGGTGGTTACCAGGGGGTGGTTACCAGGTGATGGTTACCAGGTGGTGGTTACCAGGGGGTGGTTACCAGGTGGTGGTTACCAGGGGGTGGTTACCAGGGGGTGGTTACCAGGTGATGGTTACCAAGTGGTGGTTACCAGGTGGTGGTTACCAGGGGGTGGTTACCAGGTGGTGGTTACCAGGGAGTGGTTACCAGGTGATGGTTACCAGGGGGTGGTTACCAGCTGGTGGTTACCAGGGGGTGGTTACCAGGGGGTGGTTACCAGGTGATGGTTTCCAGGTGGTGGTTACCAGGGGGTGGTTACCAGGGGGTGGTTACCAGGGGGTGGTTACCAGGGGGTGGTTACCAGGTGGTGGTTACCAGGGGGTGGTTACCAGGTGATGGTTACCAGGGGGTGGTTACCAGGGGGTGGTTACCAGGGGGTGGTTACCAGGTGATGGTTACCAGGTGGTGGTTACCAGGTGATGGTTACCAAGTGGTGGTTACCAGGGGGTGGTTACCAGGGGGTGGTTACCAGGTGATGGTTATCAAGTGGTGGTTACCAGGTGGTGGTTACCAGGTGGAGGTTACCAAGGGGTGGTTACCAGGGGGTGGTTACCAGGGGGTGGTTACCAGGTGGAGGTTACCAAGGGGTGGTTACCAGGAGGTGGTTACCAGGGGGTGGTTACCAGGGGGTGGTTACCAGGTGGAGGTTACCAAGGGGTGGTTACCAGGGGGTGGCTACCAGGTGATGGTTACCAGGTGGTGGTTGCCAGGTGGTGGTTACCAGGGGGTGGTTACCAGGGGGTGGTTACCAGGTGATGGTTACCAGGTGGTGATTACCAGGGGGTGGTTACCAGGGGGAGGTTACCAGGGGGAGGTTACCAGGGGGTGGTTACCAGGGGGTGGTTACCAGGGGGTGGTTACCAGGTGATGGTTACCAGGTGGTGGTTACCAGGGGGTGGTTACCAGGGGGTGGTTACCAGGTGGTGGTTACCAGGTAGAGGTTACCAGGTGGTGGTTACCAGGTGGTGGTTACCAGGGGGTGGTTACCAGGGGGTGGTTACCAGGTGATGGTTACCAGGTGGTGGTTACCAGGGGGTGGTTACCAGGGGGTGGTTACCAGGGGGTGGTTACCAGGTGATGGTTACCAGGTGGTGGTTACCAGGGGGTGGTTACCAGGGGGTGGTTACCAGGTGGTGGTTACCAGGTAGAGGTTACCAGGTGGTGGTTACCAGGTGATGGCTACCAGGGGGTGGTTACCAGCTGGTGGTTACCAGGGGATGGTTACCAGGTGGTGGTTACAAGGGGGTGGTTACCAGGGGGTGGTTACCAGGTGATGGCTACCAGGGGGTGGTTACCAGCTGGTGGTTACCAGGGGGTGGTTTCCAGGGGGGTGGTTACCAGGGGGTGGTTACCAGGGGGTGGTTACCAGGTGGTGGTTACCAGGGGGTGGTTACCAGGTGGTGGTTACCAGGGAGTGGTTACCAGGTGGTGGTTACCAAGTGATGGTTACCAGCTGGTGGTTGCCAAGTGATGGTTACCAGGGGGTGGTTACCAGGGGGGTGGTTACCAGGGGGTGCTTCTGTTGGCTCCCCTCCGCCTCCCACGCGCTGCCGATGGAGGCCGCTGCCACACCGCCTCTCGCCCCGCTGATGCTGCCGCTGCTGCTGCTGCAGGAGCATTGAAAATGCAATATTTGATATCTCAAAAACCTGATGTCATAGACAAAAACTGATGCCAGATTTGGAATCAGCACCCCAAAATTACCTTATAACCGTTGGAATACCTTATGCCAGAAAAAGTGTGATGACCAGTGTTATTGTTGTTGTTGTTTTCTTCGTGCGGAGGGAGCGAATTGTCAGCTCGCTGTGTATCACTCGCTTTCTCCTCGTGCTTAAATCGGTGATGTGTGTGGGTGAAACAAAGGGTGGCGAGCGAGACGCGGGCACGGGGCTATCCCCGTGTCGGGCGGCAACTCTCTCCCTCGCTCTCTTTATATTTGTTATTGACAGCTTCAACAATACAATGTCAAATCATTGTGATTCATACTCATTTGGTTGTTTCGGTAAAGTCACGTAGGTGAAAATAAAATAAAAATGAAAACAACTACATTTTTAAATAAAATTAAAACAACGACATTTTTAAATTTTTATTTAATTTTCACCTACGTGACTTTACCGAAAAAACCAAAGAGTATGGATCCTTGCAGTCACGAAAACTTCAAATCATCGTGATTCACTCTATTCAAAATTCGAAGTCAACTTGCATCTGAACAGTCAATAATAATAATAATTCAATACAACTGATGGTAAAAAAATCGTAAATAGAAAAACCATGGTTCTCCAATAAACAAACACGTTTAATAACCTTATCCAGAGCACGCATTTGCAAATGAATATTTCAATCTCTCAAGCACATTCTTCCGAGGTTCAGTTCTTGTCTTCGTACTGTGCCTTGTTTTTCATTAAATATGCTGCAAGGTACTCGATAGGACTTGGTGGTCAGTCCTTGGCAAGCACAGACAGCCCTTGGAGAACGATCGGCACCACGGGTTGGTCAATATATGCATGCTAGGCAGCGCCTGCAGGTCCGCCT